GCTTCACGCGTGGCCTTGTCCAGACTGATGCCCTGCAGCGCGTTGCTTCAAGCCCAGCTTGACCTTGTCGCTGGGCCACCAACTCCCCATCCATATCCGCTGCAGCGCAGCAAGAGCAGCAGAAGAAGGCAAATCAACAACGTCGCAACAACGTCGCAACGCAGCGACAGAAGCTCTCACCAAAGAAAAGCAAGCGACACACACGCCCGCAGCAAGCTAAGGACACTCGCCTTGAATCTCACACAAAATTCAACATCCACGCACTCCTGGGAAAGGACCTCGTCCTACGACGCAGAGATCTCCAACGAGATCCCGCGCAAACACAGGTTTGCTCAGATCTCCTCTGAAGTCAGACCCCACACGAGATCCACTATCACGGCAGAGCTTGACTGCCTAGCACCGCTTACTCTCCTGACGGGCCACGCAACACTTGGGCGCAAGCCAAATGATGGCACGGCTCGAAAGGTGTCATGCTGACTGAGGTATCCTCTTCCCACACTTGCCAGCGCAAGCCATCAATGTCCTTGGCAGGCACGCAAGCGTGCCTCACAGCTCCGCATTCCAGAATCACGGCGGCGTGGAACCTAGCAGTCAGATTATTCACCACATGCACATCTGGTAACACCTGTCCATTGGCATGAGGCTGAAGCCCTTTGCAACAGCAATATTCAGCTTTCAAATCATCAGACAGGCCCGAGTCACAGGAACAAACCTCCGAGCTCTCCGACTCCGACTCATCGTCCGTGGCATCATCCTGATCTGCAGCTTTACGCAAGCCCATAGGGACAGACTCCAACTGCTCCGGCTTCAACACCAAGCAACTCTCACTGACCGGAGCACGCGCACCCCTGACCTGTGGCGTCAGAGGCAGCCAGCCACCCCTGATAGCCTGCGTGACGGTCAGCTGCCCACGCAGAGCAGGCAGAACATCGTCTCGACCATATGTCTGCGCCATGGCTTCGCCCGAATCTCGAGAACGATGATGGCCCCAGAGACGCTGCGCCACATTATCAAGGCCCACCTGGACACTCCTGGAAATTCCCGTCACTTTTACGCTGCGCAAAGTAGAGACACCAACTGCCGCCGCATCTAGCTTGCCAACGCTCACCAACAAGCGCCGCAGCTGCGACAAAGCAAAAGTGAAAGAGGCTCTGCCTCCACGCGGGCCCGGAATAATGAAATCAGCATTCCCAAATCTTTCTGCAGAAGCATCACCGCCGGGGTCCAATCCCCATAACTCCTGAGAGTCAAGCATCCCCAAGGCATAGGCACGTGAGAAGTCACTGAACCACAACGCTGCCCACATCATAATCAGGAAACCACTGTCAAGTAGCCATCTCCGTCCAAACTATTCGTCTCTCCCAATGAGTTGAGCACGGCCAGCTCGAAATTGGCAATGGCTAGCAAAGGTAGCGGGATCGCCTCCTTGCGCGCTTGCCGCTCGCCGCAATAGCAAACCAAGCCGACACAACAGGACTCGATAGGCACGATAGCATATAGTCCCAACCCAGCAGTCCAGAGACGAACTTCAGGGCAGCCACCGGTGCATGACACGCACGACTCTTCTGCTGCACACTTGACAAGAAGCTAACTACCACGCCCACATTTGCACTAGCTGCCACAATATCGCCGCCACAAGTGAAAGCAATCCAAAGCTTAAATCCAGGCAAATGCCGCCGCAGAGTGCCAGCAGCTTTGCCACGCAAACGCCATTACAAGCTATCCAGAGCCAATTCACCCAGATCCTTGGAATGGGGAGACCAAGCGAGGAATGGCTTCAAATACGTAACCCAAGTATCCACGAAACACTTCCACTGCTCATCTTCCCAAAGCCTCCCAGACGTTGGCGGCACCTGAAAAGTGACTGCTCCTCCACTGAAAACAAACGCCGAAGGGCCAACTGGGACCAGCAGAGAACTATCCGCATCTGCCTTCACATCCTTCTCAAAAGACCTGGGCAGGCCCCCTTTGCGCAGAGGCTGGTATCCCTGCACGCCAGGCTCGCGCTACCAATCCGGCTGAGGCAATTTCATCGGCTGCACGCTGTGACCCATGCCCAACCGCCTCTACCTTTGGACGTGGTAGCCCAAGCCTTTGGACTGCATGGCAAACACAGCCAGCGGAACAGCAAGCAAAACAACTACAACTTCTGCAGACGCACTCACAACAGTGTCACAACGGAGGGCCTACAGCTGGGAATACACGCAGGTGGACATGGAGAAGAAGGTTCAGAGAGAGGGCCGGTGCTCTTGCGTGATCCTACTGAACCGAGAACACCAACACTATCAAGCGGACCCTTGCAACGAGGGGGCATTCTAGGACCATGACAAGAAATTTGCTCAACACCGCAAGTCATGCACCACGGTAACACAACAACACTGAGCTGCTCCCACTGCTCAAGGTAGATGGTTTGGGTGCACGCATTTGGGGACTTTCACGGGCCCAACCTCCCAAAATGTGTACTACTCCCAGCTGCTCCCCCGTCAAAGCACAGATCGACTGGAAGTACGTATGTTGGGCATTTCTAGGGCCCAAAATGTGTACTCCCAGCTGCTTTTGGGAGCTTGGGCCCTTGAACGTCCCAGAATGCGTGCTCCCAGAATGCGTGCTCCCAAGCGATCTGGGCTTCGATGTGGGGAGCAGCATAAAGCGTATGCACGTGGAAGCTGATTTGTTCAGGGCGCTGGTGTTCCAGTGCCATGTTGAGCACAGGATCTTGCCCTTCCGGGGGGCAGATCACACCAAAAACTAATATACCAAAATGTGAACTCCCAGATGCTCCCCATCAAATTCCAGATCGCTTGGGAGCACGCATTTTGGGACGTTCAAGGGCCTAAACTCCCAAAATGTGTACTCCCAGCTGCTCCTCCCATCAGAGCCCAGATTGATTGCTTGGGAGCACGCATTTCGGGACTGTCAAGAGCCCGAACTCCCAAAATGTGTACTGAGTGTACTCCCAGGTGCTCTCCCCCCATCAAATTGCCCAGATTGCTTGAGAGCACGCATTTTGGGACATTCAAGGGCCCGAACTCCTAAATTGTGTACTCGCAGCTGCTCCCCCCCACCAAGATTGCCTAGATTGGTTGGGAGCATGCATTTTGTGACTTTCAAAGGCCCAAACTCCCAAAATGTGCACTCACCCATCAAATTGCCCAGGTGGGAGTACGCATTTTTGCATTTCAAGGCCCAAACTCCCAAAATGTGTGCTCCTGCTCCCTGCATCAGGGCCTAAATCGGTTGGGAATACGCACTCTAGGATTTTGAAGAGCCGGACTTTCAAGGGCTCTAAATCCTAAAATGTGTATTCATATCGCCTTCAGGCTCTTGTCTGCATGCCCTGCAGCCACATGTTGCCTGCAGCACTTCGACAGACTAGTTGCATAACCTCAAACACATGTTCCGAACCTGACGGGATCACCCCAAATCCCAGTCATTTTGAGAAGCAACCTGTCATTGTAAGAAAAAACATGTCATGGTACCGGCACCCTATTCTCTTGCAACTTTACTCAACTCTTTTTCACACTTCTCCACACTTGCTCGAACATGTTTTGCGCAGTGTGAACTCCAACACACTTGAGACAACATGTCTGTTACCCACGTTTGATTGACACATGCTGGGCAACTCGAGGAATGCAAGAGAACTCAGCCTTGAACATTCGTGTTGAGGATGGAGAAACTCAGAGCCATACCCTGGGATGATTGTGGATATGCCGTACTGTTCAAACAAAATTGAAAAGACGCCAGGATGACATGCTCTGATTGTCTTCGTAGTGTTGTTTGGGAACCGTCCCCAGAGAAAACAACTGGACCCTCAACCGCACTTGATCGGTTTGCGGCTTGCTTCTGGGGTTGTTGCATGCTCAGATTGCATGGAAAAGCATGCATTCGTGCCGGTGCTCTGGTGGCTCGAGTACAAACATCTGGCTCCGTTGTTCATATCATCCATGACGCAGCGAGTCTGTCTCTCGCCTAGCGAGCTGATGTGTTCTGGCAGTCATCTGGCAGAGCTTTTCAATTAAAAAGAAAAACGTGTGTGAAACTGCATGCCTCTAGCATTGAAAGTCCCCACAGGCCACAGCCCCCTCACACCTCTTTGCACTGGAGACTCTCCATTTTTGCGTTTCTTTCACCCAGGTGGGAGGGTCCCAAACGCCTCAAACGCGTTGGACAGACAATGCTGAAGTTGCGTCAAAGACGCCAGTAGTTGAAGAGTCCTCACTCTGGTCATGGTTTCAAGCAATTTCTAATGGCAGTCTCAAGTGGATTGTATCATGATGTCTGATGTTACATGGTAGCTGACTATCTGGATATCTCTTGGGAGCAAGCAGATAGCTTGAGAGCTTCAAGAGCTGCTTCGGGCGAGTGATGTGATACCTCATGTGACTCATGTGTTATTCGAATTTGAGGAAGAAGCTGGCTGAGTTGACGGGTCGAAGCTTTCGACTGCGTCCATTGGATTTGTGCGAGCGCCTCACATTTGCTTCAAGTTCCCAGATCTCTCTCCTCCCTCTCTCTCCTCCGTTTTTTGCTGTTTGGGCTCTGGGGTGCCCATGTTTTCGTTGGGGTCTAAGTGCAAGGCTACAGCACCCATAGCAATGTGAACGTGGCACAGCTAGTTTTGTTCAACTCCGCGACAAAACCAAAAACAGGCTTGTTGCAAATAAGGACTCTTGCGAACTCAGGTGCCTTCTGAGTGTTGGTGCATTGCACTCTCCTCCCCTGCCATGCTCGCAGGGCAGCCAAATGCAACAAGTCAACAGTGCTAAGAAGCCAGGCTGAAATGGCAAGGCCAGCCTGCACCCTCGTGATGTGGCAAGTACTTTTCTTCTGCATCTGGCAAGCGTGCTGCAATACGCTGAAACTTTGGATGCGTGATCTAGTGACCAAATAACCTACACCTCTGTAAGAACCACGATGAACTTGCAAGTTCTTGAGCGTAACAAGCTGCTGGTGACCCTTACAATAGAATAGCAATAGAACCAGAATCTACAAGGACTTACCTCCGTGCCAGTCACCCTTGATTTCGCTGGTCTCCCCGTCCCAACTCTTGCGGAAGACGTCCTCAGCTGCACGCATGCTTTTTGCAGTCACGTCAGCCGGAGTGTACGGCTTGGAGCAGGGCAGCTCCAAACGTCTCGGGGAACCAGTTGCTGCAGCACTCCGCGATGCCAAGGAAGATCCAACCTGTCTCAAATGCAGGAGTGATCGTCAAGTTGCTCCTTTGCTGCCATTTCACTGGGCCAGTGCACAAAAAAGGCTCCGGTTCGATCTGCTGGGGCACGGACAGCATTGCAGAACCTTCATGCAGTCGCGTGCCGGGTAATGCGTGAAGTCAGCCTTTCCAGGCCTGAGTTAATCGCTGGAGAGCCTTCCAGGGCAGGTTGTCCACCTGGTCTGGTAAACCTCAGTTGCAGGTTTTAAGCAAATGTAGCCATCTACCAGTAATTTGCTGACTAAAGTGAGCGTCAAACTCAACTTAGAAATTATGTTCGTACACAAGGAGTGGTGAGTAGTGGTGCTAAAGCTGAAGCTTCTTACCTCACCCCATTTTGGGAGGACACGGCATTCCCTGAGAGTCATCTGTCCAAAATCTGTTGAGTTCCTCCCTCCGAATGCTAATGCTTTCAAGCAGCGAGTCTTGCCGATCAGTTTTGTCCTGGATCCAAGTTCACACTCAGCAGCGCAATACAACTTTGGAGGGAGGAGTCCACGACAAGAAGCAAGCACCATCAATCTAGGTCACGATTTTTGTTGGCGCTTTGCAGGGGACTCGCCACGTGCTTCATGCTAAGGAGGCTATCTAGTCGGCAGGCATACCGCAAAAGTAATTGCGGGTTTTCCTACTATGCCTGGAAACCTTTGGGGTTCCTGTATGCCTATTAGCACTCAGCCGGTAGCACATGTCGTTGAAATTCACGGAGACCGAGCTGCAGGCATCGATCGTGCCATCCTCTTCTGCAAGGATCGGCCACGGCCGCCCTTCGAAAAAAAAGGCGACAAGCCGCAACTGGAATGCAAGTCACACTGCCGCTAGCCAGGCATGCCAAAAGCACCCGAAATCCTCAGGGAAGTAAAGCCCCGTGGACTAACAAATTGTGGACCGATTCTGAATGGCCTGCGGCTCCAGGCCATCTGCGCTGCGGCCTAGCAAGCGAGGCTTATTCCTGGATCAGAGCTCGGCACACGAGAACCAAACACCAGTATATGAGTCTGGGCAGCTATAAAACATTAAATTAGCCACTGAACTGAACTGTTTCGACCGTCGATGGTAGCCTGGACTCGCACCGCGTGTGTACGAAGACTCACCTCGGAATTGTAGTCCACACATCGCCCAAAGTGTCTTGCGCGATGCACTCAATGCTGTGGAGGAAGCAAGTCGTGATGAATGTATTGGTGGGCTTGCCCTTGCAAGCAATCGCATGCAACTGCAGAAACTTGAGCTGCCACGCGGCACAAGTTTTGATTTCCACCCCTGGAAAAAACAAGGAAGAACCCTCAGCTGGGGAACGAAAACCAACCTGGGCATATCAACCATTTGCAAAGCTCCTTGTGGTTGGCAACAACAGCTCGCCAAGTGCCAAGTGATTGGTGTGCCGATCGGCCTTCACGAAAAGATGGTGATCATAATGATGATGATAAAGAATGGAACAACAATTTTGACCACATGAAAACACAATCGGTACCGACTAATGATGACGCTGACAACGCGCACGGCGATAAGAAAGTTATTAAAAAGGCGCAAAAACCGTTTTTGTTTTGGAGCCCCGGCACGAATGCCCCAATATTGCCTACAAGCCCATAAAACACAGTTTGGCACCATGTTGGGCCCCTCCGTTGAAAATTGAAAATTGAGATTAGGCAAATGCCTTGGCAGCCCATCTATCAGGGGCATTTCTGGTTTGTGCTTTTGTTCAATATCCACCGCCAGTTTGAGCTAGCTTGAATCAAGCAGGGCCACACGGCAACAATTTTGCAGACCCTGGGCCCCAAATTGTAGATGACGGTTTGGACATCATGCATGGCATGCTCAACTTGCATCCATGAATGCTGGAAACAAGGCAAATGCCGGGATCTGTAATCGGGGCATGTGCAATGCCATCATTGCTGGCAAACGTTTCAAACCATGGGGTTGCGCCTGGAAAGGCCATTGCTCAACAAGATTCTGGAGGGAAATGCTGGCTGCATCCAGATGCAAAGCGAGTGTTAGCCACGTGCACCGCAGCTGATTTTTTGGGCAGCCGTATGCATCTGAGCCTCAAGCTCCTCTACACTCACTTTGTGGTTTCACTGTGGGTATGAAATGTAGAATGTTTGCTTAAGGTACTTCCTGCACGTTGGCAGCCCCACTAGCCTGGACAACCAGCCTGCAAAGTTGTAGCCATGCATATGGGTATTGGGGGGGATTTTGGCAAGTTAGGAGAGTTTGGGAGATCCTGAAGCCAGTGCCATTCTAAGGCGGCACATTGCTCCGCCCGGTGTATTTTGGGACGTCCACTTCTACGTCCTCCCCCTACCTCACCCCCTCTATAATGGAACGCACTAGTGCAACAACAGTCCCTCTCTAAACACTTAGCCGGTGCTCTGGAATGTGGTCCAACAATTTAAATTGTGCCCTGTGGATGTAGTGTCTGAGGGGTGGCTGTGAGGTTTGTCGTCGTAGTTGGTTGTTGGAAGTGGTTGGGTGCGAGGGGTCCAGGACCTTCGTGTACAACGTGGCTGGGATGCGGTGCATTTTCCGCAATGCCTTCGAATGGAAGGATTCCAGGCTGTGAAGGTCTGCCTGCGTGAGGGCTGCGGACTCCATTCCATAGACCAGCATGGGCACAAAAACCGCATTGTAGATACGGAAGCCCTGTGTGCCGCCAAAATGGTAGAAAGTATTGAAGTGCTTGCGAGCCTTCGCCAGCCTCTCCGTTACGTCTTTGCGAGACGAACCATTTCTTGACAGCCCCAAATATTTGGCATGCTCCACCTCCTTGATCTCATCCCCTGTGAGGTTGTGCACGGGGTTTTGAGAATAATGGGACTTCAATAGCAAGCATTTGTCCCAATTCAGGGCCAAGTTGCTGTAAGCAGCAGCTGCTCCGCTCGCTCGGCTGTGGAGGCGACCAGGGCCGTGTCGTCCGCATAGGCCAGGTCGTAAAAACTGGTCTGCTGCCCAAATACCCACGGCATCATACCTCCATTCTCAACTGTGGGTCCACGTCGCGCTGGGTCATGCTGCGCACCATGAGGCAGAGGTACGGTGCGAGGGGGCATCCTTGCCGGACACCAGTGTGCACAAAGTACGTCGCTGGTGTGGCCGGCGGCCCTGACCTGAAACAGTTGCGAGGTGTAAATGCTGCTGATAAGAGTGACCATGGACTGTGGTACTCCGTAACGTTGCATAGCCACCTCAAGTGCGTCCACGCTGACGCGGTCAAAGGCCTCTTTCCAGTCGAGCAGCAAGACGCAGAGGGACGTGTTGGTGCGCTCAGGTCGTTCAAGTAGTCGGCAAAGGATGTGAACTGGTTGCGACGTCAATCTTCCGGCCCGAAAACCGTACTGTGAGGATCGTGGCCTGTCGTCAATCGCTTTCTCCAGCCGTTGCTTTAAAGGCTTTATGATATGCGCCATGAGTTTGTACGCGGTACTCAGCAAACTAACTGGGCGATAATTGTTAGGGTCTGTGAGGGAACCCTTGCCCTTGTGGATCTCCACGACTAGCGCCTTTTGCCAGTCCTGTGGGGTCGTACCTGCCGTGAGGGCCTCGTTCAGGATGGCTAGCAAGTAGCGGCGGTTCTCGTCTGTCATCCATTGCCAAACCTCTGTGGGGAGGTCATCCACACCTGCAGCTTTTTGTTTGCTGCCTTTCGTAACGCCGAACGGAGTTCCTCCATTGCGAAAAGGACCGTGTTGACGTCGGGCTGTGGAGCAATGGGGTCACGGTTGCCGGTGTACGGCTGGGAGGGCGGGCCCACTGTGAGTTGGCCAGGTGCTCCGCAAAAGTGTCCGCTTGCTTCGACTGGCTCGCGGGTGTGCCTTTGGAGTTGTGTATGGAGACCGGGCGCTGCTTGTAGACGGAACGAATACGCTTGATCCATTTCCATTTCACTCTGGCATCCATCGTCCGCTCGCTTTCCGCAAGTCCGTCTTTCAACCATTGTGTTTTGTCTCGGCGTGCTTGTTTACGGACTTCCTTGTCAAGTCTCGTCTCCTCCTCTGTGTTTCCCTCTGTCCTGGCCTGTGAGCGCTGTTGGATCAAATCCCATGTGTTGTGGGTGATCCACGGCTGTTTTGGGGGCTAGGTGCCTGTAAGATGTGCTCCTCTACGGCGTCTGTTACGGCTTTGTGGAGCGTCCTCCACTTCTTGTCTAGCCGTTCCTGCTGTTGCGGCGCCTGGCTGTGAAGGGGCCGGGGCTTCCTCCTTGTTGGGCGTCGGCGGCATTGCTGCTGCCTCGCTGGGCTGCGAGGGCTGTGAGCTCTCCATGGCCTTACTCACCGCCGTGTTGAATGCCTGTTTTGCCTCCTTCGTGGGTTTCCTGGTACGTTTGGGCTGCGCTGGTGCTCGTTTGGCCGGCTTGGCCTGGAGCGTCGCACGCATCTTGACCAGGTAATGCTTGGAGTTGAACAGCGCTGCGCCCGGCACCGTGGCGACGTCCGTGATCATGGTTTTTTCCATTGGGAAGGGGCTAGAACGTGGTCCAACTGAACAGATCACCCGCTGGCCGTCTGTGAGTGCGCCTGTACTGGGGCTGCTTCTCCATCCACGTTTGGGGGACGCACAAGTTCCAAGAATCTCACATGACTGGACTCTCCCTCGCCGTGGGCCATGAGCTCTTCCTCTTCTGCCACGGTTTTCGCCCAACGTAGATGTGGGCCTGTGGCACCTTGTGTGGTGTTGAGTTCATCCAACAGCTGTGCGTTGAAATCTCCAATCACCATAAATCTTTGATGTTGATGGACTTGATCTGTAAGCTGCTCCCAAAACTCATCCCTCTGATTGGTCTTTCATGTTGCGGTGGGCATAAACCACATAGATGGTGATAGGGATTTCAGCTGAATCCAATGTAAAAGAAAGCAACCTGCCATTGTACATTGTAGGGTCAACCACTGCTAATGTGATATGAGGAGCTGTAACCAGGGAGACCCCTGTGAAGGTTTGCTGGGCCGTGTTCTTCTCATCAAGAACTTCATGAGCCGCGCGAGAGAAGGTGTATCCCTTGATGACATACTGGCCCTGCTGCTTCATGTGTGTTTCTGTCAAAGCCAACTTATCCAATTTGCATTGCTTCATCAAGTAGACAATTGAACGCATCTTGCCTGCTTCAAGCAACCCTGCGGTGTTCCATACTCCTCCTGTTTGGGGCTTGGATGTGGGAACTTGCACGTCGCGCTTGGCTCTGCCACTGTGAGATGGCAGGTGTATGTGTCTTGAACCAATGTGCTCTGGCGCGCTGCCTGCTTTGCATGTCATGCTGTTGCTGCCACTTTATTCTGCTGTCCTGTGGAGGCTGACTGGAACTACGATCTTCAGGGTCTTTGCTGAGCTGACTGCTGAGTCGACATGTGGAACTAGCATGGTGATGGTGTTCTGCGGTGGGTTCTTGCGATGGAGTTACGGAGGGTCTGCGCGAATCTTTGAATGGTCGGGTGTCTTGCTGCATTGCGGGACTGTACTCTTCATCTTCAAAAAGGACTGTATCTTGGATCTGAATCTTCTGCATGTAAACGATGAAGGCAAAGAAGATGTAGAGGTGGAAGTCTTCTTAGAAAAGGTTCCTGTTGAAGTCAACGGCTGTCTGTCGCCATGTGAGAGAGCTTGAAGCGTGGGGCCATATAAAGGCATTGGGCTGTGGGTCCTACTTGCGGAGTCCTTACCACAAGAAAGCTGTTGAGGGGGCAAATGTGAGACCCATGACCTGTATGCTCTTCTGGCTTGGGCTCTCTTCTGGATCCTTGTGGTGGATTGTCTGTGTTATCTTGCATCCTGTGATCTTAGGCTGCGATTGTATTGACTGTGGGAAACTGAATGAGGATGTGAGGTGTTTGGTGCTGGTTTTGGTTTGGGCACTTCATCGCCGAAAGGCTCACCTAGAAAGTTAATACTGCACCTGGCTCTAGAGGGACTGTACTGTGAGGATTATGACAAACAAAACTTTCTAGATGGCTCAGCGCACCCAGCTCACCATGGGAGGTGCGCCTGCACGCAACACAAACCTTTCCTGCTAGAACGCACCAGTTTAGGAAGATTCACGGCCTCGTCCCCTGCCTGTGAGGGGAGCCGGAGTGCGCCTGCCATCTTTTCAGAGATCACCCTCGTCCCT